ATTGTAAAATTGATTTTTTATACGTTGCACACCGTGTGAAAAATCAGTCAATAACATCAACGTTCTTACCTGTAATAAACTGTATTATACTGATCCGGTATTATATATATACATATTAGAGTTAGAAATTATAGCTGATTAATTTTGGTATAATGCAGTTTTAAAAATTGGGCCTGTACTATATGGACCTGCTTACCTATACCATACTGATCCGCTGTAACTTCATCCGAGTTAACAAAAGTCAACAGATCAAAAAAGGAGTAATGTGCCCTGTGAAAATAGCAACGGGAACAGGACCAATCCCGCATAATCAAGATTAAAGAAAGAGAATAATTCTAAATGACCCTTCGCATACAGTAATCCTATCTTAATAATGGATCTGTGAGGAAACGGCTGATTCAGAGGAAAGTGCAGTTTTAATTCCATTCTAGCTATCGCCAATTCAGCCCTAGCTGACCTCAATTTTGCGACTCAGCCCTCTCTCTCAAGGAAATTTGCCATTTCCATATTATTGCTATTGAACATAAATATCACATGGTCATGTTGATAGCCAGCATGCATTATGCTGGCTCAATATTAATTGTATATCTCATTTTAGTTTTAACAATAATAAATTACAATGTAAACTGCATTTATAAATACGTAAAATTCAACTTTGATGTCAGACCGGATTATTCCGATATAAATATCTTTTTATTATTACACAATTAATGCAATAGGGGCGCCACCGGCTCCCCCATTTTCTCTTGTTATTATAATAAAATGGAGTGGGATTATAATCATACATGTACGTATTAGCGGAATGATCTGGTAATTTTTTGGTTTATGTTGCACACCGGGTGAAAGATCAGTCGTGTAACATCGACGGTTCCTCCTGTTATGACAGTACAGTATGAGGAAATGTGACCTTACAGGCACGTGACTTAAACAATTGCCAAATCCATGATTACCGGCCAGGAACAAATTTGCTTAAAATACCAAAAAGAGAAATTCCAGATCGTCCATATCTGGCAGAAAGGCAAGATTAGGGCTTATATCTTCCGTTAATATATCACAAGTGCCCTTGTTAAAGATATATTAATTGTACACAATAAACTCTATACATCATAATCTAAATTACATTCGTTAAGACAACAATAATGCCAAGTTACCCTGAAACTCTGCTTTACTACTTAGCCAAATCTAGCACGCCTTTTTCGATCCTAAACTAAACCTAACCTCGGTTACACGTCAATTTCGTTGGAGCAACTGACTAGCCGAATTAAAACGAATTATCAATATTAAAAAAATCGGTGTAAAATATCAGTTCCCTTATTTATTGACTGAATAATATAGACTTCCAGCATCACGTGCATTTATGGAAGTAAAAACATATAAATGTCAGCCTAAGTGGAGGCGTACACTTAAGGGTTAAAGCGAGTTATTCTTTAAAACGAGTATTCGAACAAAATTTCTTCTTTCCAATTGAATTAAGATAATGATATTTGAGAAGTCAAATCCTCCTCTTCCTCGTCCAAACATTGAAATCCCAGAGACAAAAGCCAATTTATTTTCCAAGCTTACCTTTTGGTGGCTTAACGATTTAATGAGCTTAGGCTATAAACGTCC